GGATATAATACAAATCCCTTGAAGTAGTTGTGATTTATTTCCAGTATGAAGGGAGAACCTGAACTCAGAGAGATGGAGAAAATGCGCCCAAAGTCCCACCCACAGTTTAAGAGTGCTGAGATTAGGCCAGGGCATTGGTGGTTCATGCCTGTAATCCCAGGCACTTTTTGGGAGGGGCCGAGCGGTGGATCACTTCAGGTCAGGGAGTTCAAGACCAGGCCTGGGGGGCCAAGCTGGTGGAACCCCATCTCTACTAAAAAGTAAAACAAACAAAAAATTAGGGCTGGCCATGGTGACCAGGCACCTGTAATCCCCAGCTACTCGGGAGGCCTGGAACCAGAAGAATTCACTTGGGGAAACCCAGGAAGTGGAGGTTGCAGTAAGCCAAGGATCACCCGGACAACAAAGGTTTAAAGACTGTTTCAAAATAAAAATAAAAAAAGGAAGGAATGCTGAGGATTATATCATTTCTAACTTAAGGGATATACAATAACATTTTTTTTACTTAAAACTTTTAAAGGCAAGTGGTGTGTGGTGTGTTGTTTGTGGTGTGGTGCACTTTTTTCTTTAATGAGACAAAGGACAACGTTCTGGCCTGCTCTATCGCCCAGGCTGGACTGCAGGGGCGCAATTGCAGCTCACTGCAACCTCCACCTCCCAGGCCTCCCACCTCAGCCTCTCAAGTAGTTGCGACTACAGGTGCACACCACCATGCCTGGCTAATTTTCTTTTGCATTTTTAGTAGAGATGGGGTTTTGCCATGTTGCCCAGGCTGGTCTCAAACTCGTGTGCTCCAGCGATCTGCCTATTTAGCCTCCCAAAGTGCTAGGATTACAGGCATGAGCCATTGTGCCTGGCCAAGTTAAATTTTTTAATGCTTGACTTTGCAGTTCAATACTAGAAATATACATCTCCAAATTCAAAATTCTTGAAGATCTCAAGAGAACACGTGTCCTAGATTATGGGACCTTTTGCATGTGTATCCTCTGAACCACTATTCAAGAACTATTCTCTCTCAGTTAGAACCCTTGCCATTTCTCTGACTTCCAGACACAGAAAGAGAAGAAAAGGAAGGACTGAGATGCTGTTCTTTAAAATTTTTTTCAATTTTCTATTTAATTTTTAAAATCTGATACAAACATCAGAAAGTGTAAAAAGATATAATGCAATGAGAAGTCTCCTTCCCACTCTCTCCTCTACCTGCACAATTCCTAGACCTAACAGGTAACCAATGCCACGATTTTCTTATTTATTCTTCTAAAGGTTTGTGTTGTTGTTGTTGTTGTTGTTGTTGCTTTTTGAGACAGAGTCTTGCTTGGTCGGTCAGGCTGGAGTGCAGTGGCATGATCTTGGCTCACGACAACCTCTGTCTCCTGGACTCAAGCAATTCTCCTGCCTCAGCCCTCCGAGAAGCTGGGATTACAGGCGTGTGCCACTATACCCAGGCTAGTTTTTGTATTTTTAGTAGAGACGGGGTTTCACCATATGCCAGGCTGGTCTCAAAACCCTGACCTCCAGGCAACCTCCCGCCTTGGCCTCCCAAAGTCCGCTGGATTACACGTTGGTAGGCCACCCACGCCAGCCCTAAAGTTTTTTTTTTTTTTTTTATATATATACACCATCCAAATTAGTCTTTTTCTCCTGTTTTTTTTTTCCTAAAAAACACCAAGGGTATCAAACATACATTCCTGTTCTGGCATCTTGCTTTTTTTTTAATCCCACTTTTAACTTTTGCCTTAGCAGATCTCCATATCATTAATTAATGTCTCTAATTCTCCCGTTTGCTTGTCAACGAACAGTTTTACGTAATTTCACCATAGTTCCAGTCTAGCCACACAAGCACCCAGCAGCCCCTAAAAACTACCTGAGACAACTGATATGGCTCCATGCCACCACACTAAAGACCCTGTATCTTTTCTCTCCTCCTCATTTTTCATTTCACTTATTTTCTCCAACTCACTCAGACAATTCTCCTTCCTTTCCCATATAGCCTCTCCCGATCTCACCCCACTCCTTAGCCCCTAACCCTGACAACATAAACCTAGCAATATCACTGACATTGCCGTTAGTGTGGTCTAGAAATATTCAGGCTTTAAAAAAGTAAAAGACCCCCAACCATAGAGAAAAAGGCATAAATAACTAATTTGCCCATGAGAACTGTCTAATTAACTGAGAGTGCCTTAAATTGTGAAGAGTTTTTGGTCTGGAGTTATTCTTCCTGGTTACTTGCCTCATCCAATCATTTTGGTTTGTGAAGAGTGAGTAAGTATGACACTACTTTCTATATGCATGGAAACAAGCACATACTCAGTCTAACATTTAAGCAATGCCTGACAGAACGACAGAGTTCATTTTACAATAAGATAATTGGAAACAAAATATAAGAGCTATATAAAATTAACATTTGGGCTCCAAAATATGCACTTTAATTAACCTATCATTTCTTTTTACTTAAATTAAGTAGCTCCAATCTGAAACTACATCTTAGAAATGTTTTAAGGCTATTCACCAATGAAAAAGAGGAAAGTTCTCTCTCCCCGCTTTTATTTTCCAGCCCACAAACTCAATGCTATCCTCCCCGCAAAAAGTACCTTTTTTTCTGACCAGACGAACACTGTAATTTTTAAGGTTTCTAAATAATAAAAATAAGAAAACATTACCCCCAAAAAATTGGTTTACACTTAGATGTTTCGCACTGAGCAAAGGATTGGTAAGGAACACAAAACTAAGGCAGCCACGTAATTACAATCTCAAGTAGTAACAGGTGGTAACTCACAGTATGGAGCTGATTTCCTTTCTCTATTCCTGCCATGCCAGAGACCTCTGGTAGAACTTCTGAGGTTACTGTATTGTAACCCAGGTTCAGAGACATTTAGAGGTAAAACCTTAAACATTGGAAATATCTTTAAAAGTAGGGCTTTGTGTACCAAATACATTCGTTAAAACCTAGGAAACTATAAAACGAAATCCAATATATTGATCTCAATCCCCTTGCCTGCTTCCTAAAAAGGACAGAGGCCAGCAGGTCCTGGTGCTCAACACTTGCTAAGTCGAAACACTCTTACACGGGTCCTCCGATTCTTGACGGGTTCAGAACTTCTGGTTGCATTCCCCATGCAACCCCTCCAACTCTACAGGGAGAATGCTGGAAAAACTGTGTCACTTTGGCTTCCTGTATATTAATATAAGCACTCATTATCCAGCAATAGCAGCTGAAACGTAAATGAAGATGAGAACTCAGTCTACATGACCTAAGATTTCCCACAAGTCCAGATATTTAGGTTACGCAGACTGCATTATTGTCCGATTTCTCCTCTGCATTAATCTGGAAGTCTACAGAACAGATTAGCACACAACAATCTTAACTAAGCTAGTATCCAACTCTGAAGGAAGGCGAAGCTGGTGGAGGGTTTCCAAGACTGCTTATCCTTCTCTGTCCTTCCTCCCATCCCCTCCTTATGTCTTTTTTGTTTTTTGTTTGTAAAATTTAAAAATATTTAATTTTTTTAAATGTATTTTTAGTCACAAGAAAATCAAAGAAGCCACCCATTTCAGTCTTAAGCTCTGCCCTTTGCCTAGTCCTAATGGAGGGTTCTTTGGCCATCTATGTATAAAAGATGAGAGAAGCCAAAGAGACTGGAGAACCACCACATCAATGGGAGCTTTTTCATCTAAAGGTCATCTGTCCACACTGTCCAAATGAGGTTTACCCTGTGAAATAAACTTGGCATAAGTGCTACCTGTTGAGAAAAACAGTGTGAAATGTCACGCAAAGGACTGGGGTGCAGCAGGAGGACTCTGAAAAAGTCATACGTGTAAACCAGCAGGTCTTAGAATGTTCTAATATACTATATGCAGTTTCAGAGTAAACAAATGGTTAATGACACATCTTTTGTAACACATGAATCAGCTACTGATTTGCAAGAGTGGGACACACCCTAGTACCTATGACTCTAAAGTACCTGTTTGAAAAGTGGACCTAGATGTCTGAATTGCCAACCTATCCTAAAATTGGAACAGAATTTTATAACTATGTAAGTTGCCATAATTTAAAGTTAAAAAGATCACTGCCTTTCATTATAATGGAAGTTAATTTGAGAACTTCATTAAAACGTTCACACCGATAATCAAAGAACAGTAGCAATGCAAAGTAAGGTATAGCCAATCAATCCTAGGAAGCAAACACAAGAGGCAAGAGAAATGGCAGGTAAAGGAACTGAAGAATAGCAAATTCAAGAATTACAAGCATTACAAAGTTCTAAAGAAAAATGAATAAAATGAGGCTGGTAATGAAAAAATAACACATCTTACCTTAAGAGGCATCCAAATAGCATTCATAGTGTCAGGATATAAAGACAATACTCAGAAATGAGCAAGAAGTCTTAGTAATTCCCTCGGTTACCAAGTATGAGCAGGTAGGAAAATCTTTTGTTTCGATAAGGTATCTGAAAGAGAGGATTTTCATTTAGACTAAAAAATAATCAAGAAAATGCAAATAGTTTAAGCTACCTGGGCAGGGATTTTGAAGTACTATTTGCCTCATCGCACTAAAAAAGTATAGAAAATACAGTCCCCTTTAGAAAATGGCAAATGTGTGTGTGTCTCCGTATATATGTGTAGAAACATACGTTATATAAAAAGAGAAATAAATATGTAACACTTACTTTAGATAATGTAAAATTGCTTATCAAACAGCCAAAATCCCAGAGAGAATAAAGTTTCCAGGGTACCTCATAAACACTAAACGTGATTTGTTAACTAACCATCTAAAAAAAGACCCTTGCTACATTTAATTATATTTAGTAAAGTAAAACCTCTCTAATCATCCCGACTGTCCCAAGATTATGCTTAAGTTTCAGAATCAATTCCACATGAAAAGTAAAACCTATTCTTGACTGAAGTACTAGAAACAAATAAAATACCCTTCTTCCCCAGAGATCGTTAAAAGCAGACCGAGCAATTTAATTTTGAGGGTGGGAGGAAGGTAAATTTGCCTGGAGGCTGGAGGATGGACTACATGACCTCCAGTAGGATCCTCGTTCAAGTCCTGGGCCTGAATACAATTCCAGCTTAACCAGTTACTGCTTCGCTTAAAATGGAGGCTTGCCCGCGTAGGGACGAAAATAACAGCACCCACTTCGTTAAAAACAAATGTCGAAAAGTACCCTTATTTAAATAAAAATAAAAAATAAACACCTCTGGAGTGGATGTGTTCTTGCTATGCGTTTGTCACTGAGGCTTCGAAGACTTGGCATCACTTTCCTTACCGCTCACCGGATTTTGGGGGAGGAGCGGGGGGCGGCAGTTTGACTCCTGACCCAAGTCTCAGGCAGGCTTCAAAGCCCCACCAGGGCCCCCAACTCCAGAGCCAGAGGGAGCGGAGAGGCGAGAGCCCGAGATCGCACCTCCCCCCACCGCGGACCCCAGTCCCAAACCTACCCCTCACCCCTCCGCAGTGGGGCGCCTCCTTCTGCCCCATTCCCATTGTTAGGGAGGGGAGAGCGCGGGGTGGGCTCAGGGCAGGGGCGCCCGCGGCCGTTGCCCGGCTCGCTTCAGGAGGGGCGGCCCGCGGGATGCGGCTTCCCTTCCTCTCCGCGTCGGTCCGTCCCACCTCGGCTCGGCCTGGCGCCCCGAGCTCCGCTCCGCGCCCCCGGCCGCGGCTCCGGCCCGCCCCCGGGGCAGCCAGGCCCCCCGGCCACTCGGTCGGCAGCCTGCGGCCCAGGCCTACGAGTGGGCGCTGGGCGGGGGTCCCCGTGCCCCACACACGCGTCCCTCTCCCCGAGCCCCGCCGCTTCCAGGGCCCTCGGCGGCGCCCGCTCCCCGGGCCCCGCGGCCCCCCGCCTCCCAGCCGGGCCGCTCCCTCGAGCTCGTCGTGTCGGGGCCGCCGCCTCTACCTCACCATCACCCCTGTCCACTCGTGCCCCCACCCCCAGGGGCACCAGTGCCAAAGACAGCTCCCCCAGCCCCGGACCTACCTGCACGGTTCAACCAAGCCTAGAAGTGGGGGCGGGGAATCTTCCGCCCTCCTCTGGCGTTCATTGGCCCTTCAGGGGCATATCGTGAGCGCCATTGGCTGAGCGATAGTGTCCGTCAGAGAGATGGGGCGGGACAGAAGGGGGAGAGGGATGCTGGTGCCTCGGCGTCTCTGTCTCTGTGTATCTCGCTGTCTCTGTCTCTGTCTCGGCCCTTGGAAACGAGAGGCTTTTGGATGAGAGGACTAGAAGCGGGCCTGAGGTGGGAGGAATAGGAATAGGAATCCTGCCAGAGCGTCACGCCAGTTGGCCACTCTGAACCCCCTACCTAAGTCCCCTTTAGGTTCTCTTCTCCATCACCCCCAACCCCTGCCCCTCACCCCTCGAGGTTCCTTCATCCAGGAAGCGACGTGATGAAAACTCCAGGCCGGAAGGCCATAGGGAGAGATGTTATATATGTATAGAAAATATACACATATAAACATTTATATATAAATTCAACCAGATATCAGTTCACTAGGGCCTGGAAAGGAAAGGGCACACATCTCACAGACAGGGAAGGACTTGAGATAGAGCCGGCAGAAGAAGGAATCAAAAATCACTCTTAAGAGCTGGCAACAGTGGTTACCTCCTGGGAGGGGAACTGAGTGCCTAGGGAACCAGTGGGCGGAAGACTTACATATCTCGGCGTATCCTTTGTATCCATTGATTTTTGCACCATTCATCAAGATTCCAATTTTTTAAAAATTGATTTAAAGGTTTAAATAAGGTCCCAAAACCAGGGGACAGATAAGATAGTTGGCCAGGAAAATTGGCACAACATGCAGATTTGGGGAGGAATCTTAGCTTTTAATATGTTCAGTTCCAGGTAACAGGGTTTTGTAAAACCCAGTGAAGGTGTCCTAGAGGCAACTGAAGTTACAGAACTTGAGAGAGGGTAGACAATCAGGACTAGAGACTATGTGGGGTCCTCTGCCTGAAGATAGTGGTCTGTGACATGCTAAAGGATAAACTCCCTAAGCAGGGTAATAAGACACCCACAGTAAAAGGTAGGAGAATGAAAAAGAAGGTCAGTGAGGTAAAAGAAACAGAATATTAAAGAGGCATGAAAATTAAGGAAGGAAGGGTCTGTGGAAAATAGAACAATAAAACTATGAGAGAGGACGGGCGCGGTGGCTCATGTTTGTAATCACAGCACTTTGGGAGGCCAAGGCAGGTGGATCACCTGAGGTCAGGAGTTCCAGACCAGCCTGGGAAGCATGGTGAAACCCCATCTCTAATAGAAATGCAAAAAAATTAGCCAAGTGTAGTGGCACACCTCTGTAATCCCAGCTACTGGGAAGGCTGAAGTGGGAGAATTGCTTGAACTGGGAGGTGGAGGCTGCAGTGAGCCAAGATCGCGCCACTGCACTCCAGCCTGGACAACAGAGCGAGACGCTGTTTCAAAAAAATAAAAAATACAAAAACTATAGGAGCTCATACGGTCCCTACCTCTTTAGGCTCTGGTAACCATGGACACAACAAAAATGAAGCCAAGGCCGGGCATGGTGGCTCACGCCTGTAATCCCAGCATTTTGGGAGGCCAAGGCAGGCAGATCGCAAGTCAGGAGATCAAGACCATCCTGGTCAACATGGTGAAACCACAGGCATGGTGGTGGCATGTCTGTAATCCAGCTACTCGGAGACTGAAGCAAGAGAATTGCTTGAACGAGGGAGTCAGAGGTTCCAGTGAGCTGAGATCAGGCCCACTGCACTCCAGCCTGGAGCACAGAGCGAGACTCCGACTCAAAAAAAAAAGAAAGAAAAAAAGAAATATAACAAACATACACAGAAATTGAAAAAAAACCAACTATACTAAAATATGGTTTTTCAAAATATTTTTTATAAGTGTAATATAAGCGATATATATACTTTTTATTAATGTATTAGATAATCTAATGGCAGGCCTAAATGACCACCATAATTCTGAGGCAAAAATAAGCACAAGTATTACTTTATCGATGCCTGCAACAACTATAATGTGCATTGATCTTAGACAATAGGCTGAGAAGTGATCAACTGTAGTATATGAAAATACCTGTGATGGGCTGGGCACGGTGGCTCACTCCTGTAATCCCAGCACTTGGGAGGCCGAGGAGGGTGGGTCACGAGGTCACCGAGATGGAGACCATCCTGGCTAACACGGTGAAACCCCGTCTCTACTAAAAATACAAAAAATTAGCCAGGTGTGTTGGGTGGCGCCTGTAGCCCAGCTACCCGAGGAGGCTGGGCAGGAGAATGGCATGAACCCGGGAGGCGGGCTTGCAATGAGCTGAGATGGCACCACTGCGCGCACATCCCAGTCTGGGGGACAGATCGAGACTCCATCTCAAAAAAAGAAAAACAAAAACAAAATACCTGTGATTTCTGTTCATGACAATGTCACAGGTACTGCTGTTACTACTGTGGTTTGTTGTTTCCATTCATAAATGAAGGAAATGTCAATTTCCTGTTGAACTTTCACAAAAATAAAGGCAGGTTATTTTTTCTATTCCAAGTTCATAGGTTTCCTAGTCTGTGGACCACAGGTTAAGGAACCCTATCCTAGGCTGCGGCAGGAAGATGGTTTGAGCCTCGGAATTCGAGGCTGTAGTGAGCTATGATTGCAGCACTGCGCTCCAGTGTGGGTGATAGGTGGAGACCTAAATAAACAACAACAACACTGTAAAAAGCGGAAGAAGAATTAATAATTAAAAGAAACAAAGAAAAGAAAAAGAACTCTGCCCTAAAAATCATCCTTCCCATCCTCCGCACGTGGTTTGACTCTGCTTACCCCTCATCCTTCTCTCCCTTCCTTCAGCAACTCCCAACACTCCACTCTCAACTACCTACACGTTCTGCTCCGGACACAAAAACAGGGAACATGGATGAGATTGGAAGAAAGATATCGTACATCTTCTTTCTTCAAAGAAAAAAAGAAGACGCTTATGCCTTAAGTCCACCCACTTTGGCAGTCTGAGGCAGGCGGATCACTTGAGGCCAGGAGTTCGAAACCAGCCTGCAGCACATGCAAACATCCGCTCTACAACAAGATTAAAAATTAGCCATGCCTGGGGGCTGCTACTGTAATCTCAGCTACCCAGGGATGGCTGAGCCAGATCGCTGAGCCTGGAACGGTAAGGTCTGCAGTGAGATTGAGACCGCACCACTGCCTTCCAGCCTGGGTGATGGATGAAGACTGCTCAAAAAAAAAAAAAAAAAAGAAAAGGGTAGTATATGAAGATCTAAGATGATGAAGCCCAGGAGAGAGAGCCCCAAAGGGAAACAAATATAAAAAGAAACTTTGGCCGCAGATGGCTCCTCCCATAAACCTAAGCACTTTGGAGGACCAAGCGGCGGATCACAGGCTCTGAGTTCAAGACCAGCTGACAACACGAGAAATCCCCGACGCGCAGGCGTGGTGGTGCCACCTGGTTAATTCCACTGCTCAGGAGCTAGGCCAGAAAATGCTTGAACCGGGAGGCCGAAGTTTCTGTGGAGACCATGCCTTGCACTCAGCCTGGCGACAGAGCAAGACAACTAGTCTCAAAAAAAAAAAAAAAAAGAAAACCTTATCAATTAAATCTTTTTCTCGCCCAGCGCAGTGCTCCAAGCTGATCCAGATACAGCTTTGGGAAGGCCAGAATACGGCGATCACACTAGGAGGATCGATGCATCCTGCCTAACACGGGTAAACCCCGTCTCTACAAAAAAAAATCCAAAATTAGCCGGGCTGCTCGTGGGTGGCGCTTAGCCCAGCTACTTGGAGCCTGAGAGGAGATGGCGAACTCGGGGGCGGAGCTTGTAGGGCTGAGATCACCGGCCATGCACTCCAGCTGGCGAGGAGCGAGACTCGTCTCCAAAAAAAAAAAAAAGAACTTTTTTCTCGAGTGTATTCAATTCCATTTAAATCAACCCGCAAAAACCCTTCACACAGTCCGTATTCATAGCTGTAAAATGGGCAAAAATATCCTACCCCTTATTTTGCAAGATTATTTTTTTTTTTGGTGACCAACACCAGGAAACCTGTGAACATGCTGTCCCTTGCCAGGTGACATTTCAGGACTTGCACTAATCCCAGGCACCTAGCCCAGGTGCGCCAGTTTGGTGCCTTCCCATCATACCAGTACTGTGACTGGAGATTAACATTCAAAGAAATCAAATTCTCTCACAAGTAATTACAATACACTCGTACGCAGAGTTAGGTGATGAGGTTCAGGTTAACAGGGGCTATATAGGAGGCGCATTCTGATCAAGTTTTCTTCTCAACAGTACATCTTAGATTTTGTGCGGCGGGCACAGCTGGCTTCAACGCCTGAATCCCAGGCACTTTGGGGCGTGAAGGGCAGCTGCTTGAGCCTAGGAGTTGCAGACAAACCTGCAACATGGCGAAACCCCATCTCTACAAAAAAAAAAGACAACAGCAGCATGGGTGGTGCATCCGACCGTGTGCCAGCTACTTGGACTGAGTGGTAGAGGATCGCTTGACCCCCAGGAAGTTCAGACTGCAGTGAGCCACATCAAAGTCACTTACTATCGCCCTGGGCCACAAGAATAACCTCTGTCTCACAACAACAACAACAACAATCTTGTCCTATAAATCAATTTAGCAACTCTACGACTAGCTCGCGAGAGGGCTGCGGGCACTGCATATAATAAATCATTTGTGTTTTGAGTCAAGATAACCCCAATCATTACACAAAATAGTGTGCCATTCACGGGCTGTGCTATGACTATGACACA